CACTGGGGAGAGTTCACGTCAGACAGAGCCCCGAGCAGCTGTTGTCCCCAGTGCGCCCGATGATCACACACGCACACACACACACATGCACACACAAACACACATCTCCATTCTGCACACACCTCCAGCCCAGTGCTTGACTTTAGCATTGCTTCAGTCTGTGCCTTGTGTTTTGAAACGCGAGGTCAGAGCCACATCACGCGGCGCAGGTTGATGAACAGATACACCGGCAGGTTCTAGCATGATTTTGGGATGTTCATGTTGTACCAGTGGACTAGAAGTGTGTAGGCTACTTAAACTTAGACTTAGACTTAGACAAACTTTATTGATCTACAGGGGGAATTATTTGGACACAGCAGCTCACAGCATATTATAATAAATAACAAAGAGAAACACATGAATGGTATAATAAATTCTAAATAAGTCACAGAAATAGCAAAAGGCTGGTGTCAAATAAGACATAATTATATAAATGTACAAGTAAAAGTAAAATATAGAAATACAGTAATAAATATATATCTCAGCTATATTCAAGAGGTCGTAAAGAAAACCGTGCAAAAATCACATGATCATTGACAGGACATAAGAGTGAGTTGTTGTATAGTTGTAGGGAGTATTATCTGTTACATAAGGGTGAGTTGTTGTACAGTTGTAGGGAGTATTATCTGTTACATAAGGGTGAGTCTTTGTACAGTTGCAGAGAGTATTATCTGTTACATAAGGATGAGTTGTTGTACAGTTGTAGGGAGTATTATCTGTTACATAAGGGTGAGTCTTTGTACAGTTGCAGAGAGTATTATCTGTTACATAAGGGTGAGTTGTTGTACAGTTGTAGGGAGTATTATCTGTTACATAAGGGTGAGTCTTTGTACAGTTGCAGAGAGTATTATCTGTTACATAAGGCAGTAAGAAGTTGTAGGGAGTATTATATGCTATGTAAGGAGTTGTTGTACAGTTGTAGGGAGTATTATATATCACATAAGGGTGAGTTGTCGTACAGTTGTAGGAAGTATTATCTGTTTTATGAGGGTGAGCTGTACAGTTGTAGGGAGTATTATCTGTTACATAAGGGTGAGTTTTTGTACAGTTGTAGGGAGCATTATCTATTACATAAGGGTGAGTTGTCGTACAGTTGTAGGGAGTATTATCTGTTACATAAGGCAGTAAGAAGTTGTAGGGAGTATTATATGCTATGTAAGGAGTTGTTGTACAGTTGTAGGGAGTATTATATATCACATAAGGGTGAGTTGTCGTACAGTTGTAGGAAGTATTATCTGTTTTATGAGGGTGAGCTGTACAGTTGTAGGGAGTATTATCTGTTACATAAGGGTGAGTTTTTGTACAGTTGTACGGAGTATTATCTGTTACATAAGGGTGAGTAGTTGTGCAGTTGTAGGGAGTATTATCTGATACATGAGCTGTAGGAGCCTGTTGGAGAATGAGCTCCTCTGTGCTCCTCTAAATATGAGTCAGACGATGTAAATACTGTAGTCTAAAACATATTTTACATAATAAGAGTTTGCAAAAACAGATAAAGAAAGAAAGTGCTGTTTGAGGCTTGCAGTTTACTCTTTGTCTGGCAGTTTTCTCAAAAGACAAATCTATTTTAGTGCAATATAAATATTAATCCATCCCTCCTTGAAGAAATCCACTCAACTATACTTAGTGGTGGATGAAGTACTCCAGTTTGTTACTGAAGTAAAAGTACAGGTACAGGGGCAAAAGGCTACTCAAGTTAAAGTATCACATGAAAAAAATCTACGCAAGTAAAAGTATTAAAGAATAAATAGTAAAGGTATTTTACAGAGATTTTTAGAACAATTAAATGATGAAATGTAATGATTCTGATAACGAATTAAGCTGATTTTAAGTGATTCAGTGGATTTCTTAATATTTCTAGTTGTTTTTGTGTATTTGGTTTACTCAAAATAGGAACAGTAACTCAAATTAAATGCGTTAAAAGTAAGTCTCAGCCATTTCAACAGGCCATAAAGAAAAGTACGTTTTACTTTTCAGCCCAGATCTAAAATGTAGTAGGGTAGAAAGTACAGATACACGTTCTCAATTGTAGTGAAGTAAAAACAAAAAGTATCCACTGTAAAATTTGCTTAAGTATAGTACAGAATTTGCCTAAATGCCTAAAATTTTTACTTTATTTTTGTACTTGGTTACTTTCCACCACTGCTTTTGCCCCCTGTAGACCCGGGCCTGTCTAACCCATGCACCTTCCTGTTCTGTTCCATGTGTTTTGATGGCTTTAAGCTTTAAGCCAAATTACACACATTGTCGCTTAATGACTCCTCTCTGAGCACATTGTTGCGCGTCTTATGCAACAGTTACAAAACACCGAATCAAAGACCGCATTTACCAACACAACCCGACACTCTCAAGTCTTGTGTGTTCAGATCTCCAGCCTTAAAATTAGGATTGTAACTTCGGCGGACAGATCGAAAGCATAAACCATGGCTAGCCACATCTGCTCTCTTCTCGTACCCTCACCACAGCTCATTAGGCTCCCTGTGAATCTCTCGAGACTGGCCTTAAATTCAACTTTAAGCACCTCTCCTACCTCTGCACCGCCGCCCACCAGATGTCTTTGGCTACAGTATGAGGTTTCGCTCTTGGACGCCCCTGGTCTTTAACCCTCGCCTGAGCGCTCCGTCCCGTGCGCGCGCCACTGCTCTCGCTCCTGACCCGCTCCCCCTGCCCCTCTCCCCTTGCCCCTCTCCCCTGGGGTCAGACGGACAGATGCGCTGCATAAAAACACTTTTCTGACCTCATTTCTCACAAGAGACCGGAGATTCACACAGAGGGGAGAGGAAAGGGAACAGCTGTACAGTACAAACTAGGTACAGCACGAGGGGGACTCTAAAGGCATTATAATGTACAGCTAATAGTATAATTAATAATAGTTGTAATTTAATAATAATAATAATAAAAATGGAATCAGGAGGAATGGTACTCTCTAACATTGCAAGATAGAGTTAAAGAAAACATCACCAGTCACTTGGGGCAAAGAACACATTACATATTTTAGATATACAAAACTCATAAAGCACTGTCATGTTTTGTGAAATAATTTCTAAATCATAACATTCCAATTTTAAGAGAAAGTAAATTAGTATAATTTCATAGCCATTGTTATCATAGACTATTCTATAATGGAGTGGACAAAGTGAGTGTGAAATCACCCATAGCCAGAGATGGGATCAAGTCATCGGTTTGCAAGTCTTAAGTCTTTGACCTCAAGTCCGAGTCAAGTACCAAGTCAAATACAGGCAAGTCCAAGTCGAGTCTCAAGTCACTAGCCCATAAGTTCAAGTCAAGTCCAAGTTGTCTGCTTTGAACTTCAAGTCATTTCAAGTCTTTAAACAAAAGTACCAAATGTAGCTTAGATTTTTGCAATTTACATTAATTTTAAACTAAATTATACTTAAAAAGTCATAGTATTTTTATATATGAGTATTTATAGAGTATATAAGAGTCATAGAAATGCCATTTTTTTCTTTTAAAATGTCTTGACAAGATCTTAGAGTAAATCATTATGGTCAGAACAGAAAGAATTCAGATGTAAAAGTGCTTCTCAACTCACTGGCCTTCAAATCCAAGTCAAGTCCCAAGTCTTAGTCCATTTTATCAAGTCAAGTCTCAAGTCCTAAAAATAGTGACTCAAGTCTGACTCGAGTCAAAGTCACGACTTGCATTCGACGACAGGAAAATGAAGATGATCGAGGCGAGCAGTTATAAGAGTAAATCTGGAGCTGAGTTTCATACTGTATTTAGTTTAGTTTAGTTTATTTACTTAATGAGAGAGGGATGGTGCACAATATACATTAACCATAACAGGAGAGATGCATTGTATGAGGCTGTAGCGCCAGTGCTAATTTTCACCTGTCGTCCCTGGGCAGGCTAATGTTATATTTCATAATATCAAACATACAAAGAGAATGAAAATGAATATAATGGATCATAACAATTATGTATCATCAATCACACCTGGTTCTCTCAGCACCTTAAAAAGTATAAATAAGTATAAATCCTGATCAAAAACATCATTCAATTCATTCACTCCAGAACATCACACTCTCTACAGACGCTCATCAGTGCGCATTAGGTTTAGTTTGAAAGGAGCTACTGTTTCGCCAGGCGTGAGAATGTGCTGTAGTTTGTACATGTGAGCAGTTCTGTTGGTAACATGTTCCACTGACGGATGGTCGTGCATGAAAAGGCTGAGTTTCCAAATGCTGTCCTGCATTTGGGGATCCTGAACTCTTCGCGCACAGTGGATGGAGTGGCTCAGGAGGTGGTTTCAGAGCTCAGAGAAACAAACTGTTTTAGCGGAGGAGGAGCAGCAGCATGAATGATCTTTACAACAGGCAAACTTTCAAAACTTGAAATTAGGAATAGGAATTTTCCAGAGCGGGTTAATATGAACATTTTAAGACCAAAATGACGAAGCTCACTGCAGCAGTTACAGACAGAGTGGTGACAATTTTTCAGTGTAAAGTCAATGTAATTAATGCAGAGTCAATGGAAACACAGCGACTAGAGGGTTATCTGTGTCCATTTATATAAACAGTATATGATTGTTATAGGATTATGAGTAATGTAAGTACAGAGTTAACATGTTTACTCAGTCTGTTAGGCTTAGTCAGTTATAATATACATTTTGTTGCAGATCTTTAGGCACAAAAAACGATTTAGGTTTAGGGATATTTATTATGAAGCCACAAAAAAAGTTAACACCAGCTACAACAGCTCCCTGCTCTCATCCCGTGCCTTGCTGCAGTAAAAACACACACCGGTCTAGAGGCATTCAAATGCACCTTGTAAAAACAGCAATGTTTAGAATTTTTTAAAATGACACCATAAAAACAATAGGGGGTGTCAGTGAACCTGAAAACAATAATCTTTACATTAATTCATAAGAATCATGTATAACTGTAAATTAAATAATCATGTATCTCACAGTTTGATATAACAAAATGAAAGCAAACACGTAAAGTTTTAAATTAATTCATTTATTGATCACAAAATAACAATTTCTTTCTCCACACGTAACATTAAAGTGCAAAAAGCTTGATATGTTTAAAACCACAATCTGCCATTTACGTTGAAACATGCATTAAATGTCCAGTGACCTTAACCCATTTCTTTATAAAAAGCATTTGGTGAGATACAGTCTTTGGGGGATTTGAACCTGAGTTTGTCCCAAGAGCCTCGCAGCCCAGAGGGAGTTCACTGAAAGGCAAACTCCTCACATACATAGGACTTCCTATCAAGTAGTTGCAATTTACAGACAAAAAAAAAAAATGATGCCAAAGATGTTTAAAGGTACACTGTGTAACTTTTCTGGTGGAGGGTCTGTTGTTTTTTTCCATGGAGATGTTACTTTTGTGTCTGGAATACTTCCCAATATGGTATATGGTATATGGTATATGTTTCTATCTTCAAGGAGACCAAACCAGACCAAGTTACAGGTCAGATCTGCGGAGAGGTGACCCCACTCACAGTCAGAATGCCTGTTTTTCTTGGTATTTTTGCACTATAAAACCAAGCGTAATTTCGTAACTGCAAGGTAAAGCTGCTTAATGTCATACTGTGAAACATTCCTAGCCTGATACATCCTTGCAGCATTAGATTTTTTTTCGCTCGACGGTAGGCAGGTACTTTTTTTATTTAACCAATTGCTGCTATTTGGTCAAGACGTATGTAATGCGCCGGAACGCTCAGTGTTGTCCAAGTAAATGCTGCAATAAAAAATGCAAAGTTTGTATTAGCATATGCAATCTGCTATCACAACTCAGGTTGGTTCAGCTCTTCACTGATTGGCTGGTGTGTGGTCTACAACTTCCGGGGTTCTTGCAAACTGTCTAGTGTATTCCGATTCCTGACCTAGTCGCTGGAGAGAAATGAAATTGAGTGGAGGCACTAGGTGGCACCAGCCTGGGTAGAACATTCAAGACAGATCTATAGAATGGCATATCTACAGAAACAACCAGGTGACGGACCCCCAACCAAAAAGTTACATAGTGCACCTTTAATATGTTAAAATTCAAATCTCCAAATATAACTTTTGACTACATTCTGCTTCAAGTAAAAATTTTATGTGAATCTATTTTACCAGTCTTGTGACATTAAAGCTTAGTAACAATCAACAAGCTTTTAACAATTCTGATAAAGTTTGGTTTCCATCATTTTAATGCATTCATCAATCATGTTTGTGACAGGTGCAGATGTAAGAGTGAAAATATAAAGAAAATACACAAGAAATAGGTCCAAAACCAAGTGCCGTGGGCTGAAATTAAATTCTCATTAAGATCTGGCAACCCTCGCACCACTGGCTATAATGGCTATTGTGTATCTGTAACTAAAACTGCACGCCCGCAAAAGCAACAAAAGATAACGTGTATAAAGTTTCTCCCTGCAATTAAGATTAGGATTCATTGTACACATTTCTCGACTTAAAATGAGCTCTCTCCTAAAAGAGAAAGGCAAGAATGCGTTGGTAAAAACAGTTTACCCTGATTTTAAAAGTCAAATAAATAATACATTGCAAATATACATACATTTGATAGCCATTTTTCAAGCACCGAAACCAGGATTATATGAGAAATACTTCCATGAACTGACCAGAACATGTCTTATTATTGGCTCATATGGTTCATACAATCTAATTATATATGTGTAGACCATAGACTGTATAAAGAAGTGAACTAAGTGAGTGTGACGTCACAACGTTCAGGTCCAGTCAAATGAAGCTCATTGAGGCTTGCAGTTATAGGGGTGAATTTGGAGTAACATATTAGGAAAAGGAATTTATTTACTGACAAAATTGTGAAATAAAAACAGCAGGATCATGTAGAGTGGCTAATTTTTTATATGTGAAGTCGATGGAGCCAGAAGTGTGCCAATGTTCACTTCCTACTCGGAACACGGCGGCTAGCGAATCCATTTCTATATACAGTCTATGGTATTAACCAATTTAGTGAGTATTGCGCTTAAAAAATAAATGTTCATAAGTGAAAGACTGACATTAGCATCAGTTGCATGTTGAGGCAGTGGTCTGAAAAGTGTGACATTTTAAAGCTGTATTAAAAGATGCAGTGATGTAGTGGAAAATGCTAAATATTTCAGAGTCGCTACTGCCCAGACAAACCACAGTGTTTTTACATATGCATGTGTCTGTATTATTAATATACCACTATCAGGTTAGGCTGACGTCAAATTTTAGTGCAGTAAAGCTTAAGCAGAAGCTGGCAGTCTATTCCTAAAATGTACAAATCGATAACAATACTAGTAAAGGTGCATTGTGTAACTTTTCTGGTGGAGGATCTGTCAAATGTTTTTGTTCATGGAGATGTTATTGCTTCGTCTGAAATGTTTCACAATATGATATTAAACCTTTCTATCATCATGGAGACCAAGCCAGACCGAGTTACAAGTCAGATCTGTGGAGTGGCGACTCTGTTCACAGTCAAATGCCTGTTTTTCTAGGTATTTTTAAGCTATAAAACCACCTGTAATTGAATAAATGTAAGGTAGAGCTGCTTAATGTCATAATGTGGAATATTCCAAGAAGAGCAATGACATATCCAAAGAAACAAACAAATGACGGACCCCCCCAACCAAAAAGTTACATAGTACACCTTTTAAAATTCTCTTCTTCACAATCTACTGAATTCGCTCTTGCTCTCAGCTTGTTGACATACATGTTCAGGGTGAGGGTTCAGGGCTACAGTGGAGCAAAACTACTAAATATTTAAACAATATAAAACTACAAGTGACGCCTGTGTTCACTCAGCCACAAGTGTAAGAAAAGAGACAGAGAAATAACAAAAACTACAATTTAAATAAGGGTTTCAACACAGTATAAATCTGCTTGGGATCATTAAGCATTGGCGCACACATGCTAACTGTATTTAGCAGTATAACTTGCTGACACCTAAAGCAATTAATTCCCATAGCTGGCAGGCAAGGTCTCTCCCATTTCTGTAAGCTTTTCTTCACTATAACTCCAGGCTTTCAGCAGAAAACGCTGCTCTTAAATAATTTGTATTCATGTGTCATCGCGCTGGCTGTACGAGCACTTTTGACTCCGAGATGTGGCGCCTGATCCCACAAAAGTGAAATGTAAAAATAACACATGCAAACGTGAATTATCAGCCAAATAAAACCGCTAACAAAGAAATAATACAGGTCTTGTAAAACGGCAATGGTCGACAAAATGCTAGGTCTGTTAGAAGCTGGGTTTCTATCAAAATTTGAAGTTAATTATTTTAGGTTTAGTGTGTAAAAGGAAAAATCATCTGCCAACAAATTAAGCACCGAAGATGGAAAATGGAGTCTAATTAGCTTTGAGTGGGCCTGTCACCATAACACATTTTGAGATATACTGCAATACATGATAATATGGAAGCTACTTTATGCCACTGACACAGTAACAATAAAGCAGAATAATCCCACTACACCAATATTTAAAGGTGCATTTTGTGTAACTTTTCTGGTGGAGATTCTGTCAAATGCTTTTCTCCATGGAGATGTTACTGCTTTGTCTGTAATGTTTCACAGTATGGCATTAAACCTTTGTATCAACTTGGGGACCAAACCAGGCCTAGTTACAGGTCAGATCTGTGGAGAGGCAACCCCGCTCACAGTTTTTCTTGGTATTTTTAAGATAGAAAACCACCTCGAATTTAAGAAATCTAAGGCAGAGCTGTTTAATGTCATACTGTGGAACATTCTAGGCAGAGGAATGACATATTCATAGAAACAAGCAGAACAAGAAAAGTTACATAGTACACCTTTAAACAGACAGTATCATTCTAAAGGCCTGAGCGGTTATTACAGTTAGTTATTGAACTCTTATTACAACAAAAATACACAAAATCTCCCCACTTTTACAAAGAAACTGTACCCACGATAAATATTGAGCTTCAAAATATATTGTTCCAACTTTAATATATTGAATGATAAGTTGATATAATAATTATCATGACAGGTCTAATGTCCACAGCCAAAAATGTGAAAAAAATACATTTTGCTAGAGACAGAAGGAAGTGTACACCTACAGATGGTGAGGGTAGAAAGATATTTGGCCTTACCAGTCCAAAAGGATATATCATTATATTGTGTAGTTTGCTTTTTGTGTCATAATTAAAGTCATAAAAGTAGTAATAAAAAGCAGACAGAACCAAAAATGGATGAGCAGCAAGGCTAACTTTTTTGATACTTCTTGCCACCATGGAGATATTAATGTTGCTCGTATGGCCATGGATCTATAATAAAAACTCGTTAAGGCATTCCTCGTCTTTCGTAGCTCGAGACCAACTACTGGCCGCTCCAGGTACTGCAGCTCCCGGGAGCTTGGGCCCAGAAATAATTCTCCCATAGAGGCACAGTGCATTTTTTGGGAATTCAGACTGCCTGTTTTCAGCTCACAGGGCATTGACAACTTTCACAAAGGTTGGATTTTGTAAGGATTCTTTTCTATTTTCACAACATAAACATTTTTTTTTTTTTTTTTTGTAGCTTTATCCTTGGAAACAAACATATGACAGCACTAGTTACATGTCAAAACTGTGGAGAAGAGGCCCCACTCACAGTAAGAATGCATGTCTTTTTGCATGTATTTTTAAAAGCAAGATAGATAGTTAATGCCGTACTGTACTGTAGAAGATTCAAAGCAAAGCCATTACATCTCCATGGAGACAAAAAGACCCTCTCCCCAACAGAAAGGTTACATAGTGTACTTAAGACACTCCCAACTACACATTAAAGGGCCCATATTATGGTATTTTCTGATTTATGTTATAAAATATATTTCCTTATCAAAAACATACCCGGAGTGTATGGATATTTAGGCTTGAGTTCTTCTCTCAAATGAAAAACACTCCACCATGTTCCACCTTATAATGTCATGTGAGAAAACAGGAAGTGCTCCACTGTGTTTCTAAACTCACATACACCTTCACGAGAATTATTTGGATAATTTCAGCCCTGAGTTTACCCGTGTCTTCTGAAATAAAAGTAAAAGGTAGCTGTTACTTGTCATTTTGAGCTTTGGAGATGTAGACAGAATAATAATAAAGGGTTATTTAAACATGTATGAATGAAACAAAACACAGCTCCATGTATGTTTTTGATGAGATAACAGCATTGTAACATGGCTGGAAGCTCTCAAGAGTTAATTTAGTGTAATGTAGGTCCTTTAAAATAAGGTACTGGAAACATCAGCAGTGCCCCCCCAGTAGGCAGCCTATTCACAACAAGTAGCACCAACCTGTATGGCAGCTGAGCGTGGGACCACCTGTGCACTGGCCCGGAGACTTTGTTTGCGTGTTTTTAAATACATTTGTCACAACACGTAACAGTCAGAACAGTTGTAGTAACACCTCAGGTCCCCAGTCCATTGCAGTTTGAGCTACAGCGAACACAGCAGCTCCGAGTGTCGCCGAAAGCCCCCACACTGCCATCTTCACCACCCTGTTGCCCTGCCCCCACACGGAGGAGGGGTCCCGGGGCAGAAGAGCCGTGTTGGAGCTTGGAGGGGCTATGGGGCATAAAACACAAAGGAGAGGGAGGGGTCAGGGGGGAGAAGAGAGGAGGCACGTGAAGGTCAAGAGGATTCATCAAGACTGTGAGGTGAGAGTAACTATACAATGAAGACAATAGGGAGACCACAAAAGGGTATATCGATAAGGCATAAAAATGGCCATTTAAGTCAAATCAACAACTTAATATTACTACAAGTCAGGTCTGTGGAAAGGTGATCTGCTCACGGTAAGTAAGTATGTTTTTAGGTGGTTTTTCTCAGTAACGATACCTGTAATGCCATACCATGAACTTTCCAGGCAGAGCAATTGGACCCTAGCCTGATTCATCAGCGCGTTTCATTTTGTGGAAACCATCTGGCCTTGCAGCATTAGAATTTGTTCACTTGACGGGTACTTTATTTATTTAACCAATCGCTGCTATATGGTCGTGACGTATGTAATGAGGTGCTAACGGGACTAACTGGTATATTAAGCTCTTCCCAAATCCCGTAGGAAGAAGGGCAATAACGTTTTTCCCCTTGATAAAATTCACCAAACATTCTCTTTGTTCCAGCTTTAAATCCTCGATCTCGGGAATCGTTGCCAACACAGATTGTATGGCTCTTCGCTGATTGGCTTGTGCCTGAACTCGCACTTCCGGGGTTTTGGTGAACCGTCTAGTGCAGGGTTGTCAAACTCATTTTGGTCCAGGGGCTGTGTCCAACCTACTTTGATCCCAAAGGGGCCAAATCAGGCATATATATACCCCAAAAATAGCAATAAGTTCAAATATTTGTGCAGAGAAACACAAATCTATTACAGAAATCTTTTTTAATTGATGAACTCTTTCTTTTACAAAATATTATAGTATCATGAACAACCTGAAACTTTACGAAAAATGTAATTTCAACTCAATGTTTTAACATTAACTTGTATGTAAATAGGAATAAGTAATTTTTTCTTGGAAAATCCTGCACTCAGCATCCACTTTTCTAATTTTTGACATTTTGCTGATGAGGGTGTCACGGTCAACAGTCAAAACGATCGTCCTGTAGTCTTCTCTACAGTGCTGCTCTGATGGGAGGGGCCACGTACAGAGACACTGGAGACGCTGCTATGATAAGAGATGCAGAAAATTACCAATATTTTTATAGAAAATATAATTACAATATTTTTTGTAGAAAATCAGCCAAGGGCCAGATTAAAGGTCTTGGAGGGCTGGATCTGGCCCCCGGGCTGTATGTTTGACACCTGTGGTCTAGTGTATTCTGATTCCTGACCTAGTCGCTGGAGAGAAATGAAATTGAGTGGAGGCAGTAGGTGGCACCAGCCAGGCTAATCGGACCTAACCAAAAAAACGTACATAGTGCACCTTTAAGTCAAATATAAATGATGTCAATGACTTAAAAGCCTTTTTCAATACAATAATGAATGTGTATTGTAGTTTTTTTAGAAATATGTTTTTTTTTGGGAAATATTTCAGTACTTAGATTTTAAAATGATCTTGTAACAAATTGTCATCTTTTGTAATAACTATAATTACTTCCATCAACAAGGTTAAGTGTTGATAGCGCCAGTGTATTCTGAATAATAATTATTTTTATCATCTGTTGTATTTTTAACCAGATATTAAAATTAGAAAAAGCTTTAGTAGATCACTTCATCCACAGGTTTTATTTTGTTCTCTAACTATATCAAGTTAAAAGTGCACAAATTCACTGTCGCCACCTGCTTGTCTCTATGAAGTGGTTATTGCTTATTATTGCTACAGCTCAGATCTGTGGAGAGGCAACCCGTTCTACTACTAAGGAAGTATGTTTAGGTGTTTATGACCAATAGTAATACTTGTAAATTAAAAATGCTAAAAGACACATTTAATGCCATATCGTGGAACATTCCAGGCAGAGCAATTGGACCCCAGTGCACCTTTAAGTCTAATATAAAAGACGTTGTCCTCTGTACGCCTGTAAACGGTCATTAATTAAAGCGCAGAGACGTAGTGACTGCATCTTGTCAATCTGTCCTTGTTTCTAAAAATCTTCAACAGCGAAAACACACACACAGACACAGACCCACACAAACACAGACACACACAGACACACACACATCTGTTGCAACATCTGGGCTCTGAGCTAATGCAGGCAGGGAAAGCCCATAAACAAGGAAACATTAGGAGGAGGATTGGTGGATTATAGTTTGGGCTTTCTCTATTAGACGTGGAATAAACTGTACTGTCACTCACTCTGTCATTTCTATTGGCCCCATCAAAGCCATTTCGCGAGGCCATTGTCTGCCTCAATGAAGTCAGGAGGTACTTACTTCAGTCTTCTGCCTGTCCATTAGCCATTTCATTTTGGACGCAGCTAATTGAATTCACTGGGAAACGCAAAGAATAATGTGCATCGTTTTTTAAAATTGCACTCATTCTCTTTGAGGGAAATTCAACATGTTTTATTATACACTGAGCAGAGGGGGAGGTAACGAAATACAAGTAGGTATCTGTACTTTATTTATAGATGCACATTTCTGGTGGGGCGTCCACCACCTGTTTGTCTCCATGGAAATGTTATTGCTTTGTCTAGAATATTCCACAGTATTTATTAAATCTATCTATTATGAAGGAGACGAGCAGGTTACAGCACTACGCTACATTACAATTCCGAATTGAGGAGAGTCACCCCCATTCACAGAAGGAATTATCGTATTTTTCAGCAATAGAAACACCCATAATGAATAAATGCTAGATGGAAATGTTTAAAGTCATACCATGGAATATTCTAGGCAAAGCAATAACATCTCCATGGAGACAAATAGGTAGCAGACCCTCCACCAGAAAAGTTGCGCAGTGCACCTTTAAATACATTTTACAGTAGGTACTTTTTACATTTACTTCACCACATTTGCGAGCAGGTATCTGTGCTTTCTATTCCAGTACATTTTTTAACTGGGCTGAAAAGTAAAAAGTACTTTTCATGAGATTTTAGGGATTATTTTTTCCATGTTTGTGGTAACATCTTAAGTTTTGGAGTTTTTGAGAGCATGTTTTGGCTTTGAGCAAACAAAAATAAACACAGAAAATTCATAAGATTAAGAAATTGATTTGTATTGACACTGTAGAACAAAATCTGTATAATTTCAGTATCACTACATTTAACATTTTAACAAATTAATGACACTTTGTAAAATTCTATGTGTGTTCCTTTAAATTTTACTCTAAATGTAAACTTTTAAATGGGTACTTTAATACTTTTACTTAAGTTGATTGATTTCCATGTGATACTTTTACTTTTACTTGAGTAACCATTTGCCTCCGTATCTGTACTTTTACTTAAGTAAACACCTGAGTGCTTCATCCACCACTGACTGTGTGACAATAACATAAGACAGTATCTATGAGAATACAGCCTCCTTTTGTTCAGGCATATTCAAATGCGGACTTGATTGGTTGGAAGGAGCGCTTCAACATGTGTTTACTTGTTATTGATTGGCCCACAGGGGGGCAGACACAGTGGTGGAGGATGAATTTATTATTACCTTGTTTTGAAGTAAATTTGCCATTTACAAAGGCATAAAAACAGCTATTGTGAAAATATTCTTTTGTGAAGCTATTATGTCCTGGCCACTGTTGGTTTTTACTGTTGCACAATTTATTAACTCTCTAAGCAGTACTTCAAAGGATAAATTATGACTTGTTTTTCCGCACTATTGCCTACAGGCCTACACATATATGTTTATCATTATAGAGGGTGGATTATTTTGTGTTAACCCACCTTAAAGGTGCACTGAAGGATGTTCACAGTATGTTCCACAGCTCTACCTTAAATTTATTCAATTACAGGTGGTTTTATAGCTCAAAAAACAGGCATTCTGACTGTGAGCGGGGTTGCCTCTCCTTACCTGCATCTCCTAAACATCATCTAATCAGCTCTTCATCACAGTGTCTCCTGTCGGGGTCTGAGCACCAAAGATAACTCATTCAATAAAGCTACTAATACTTTTCTCTTTGTGTATGAGTCTCTCCAGGTTGAAATACATGTGTCTTTACATTTTGATGCAATAGTGTTTATGAAGATGAAGGTGAAGACAGCAGTCTATTTCCATCAAAACTACTTAAAAAAACAGTTACATTCAATCCTAACTGTAATGTATTCGAAAAAAGACTCGAAGAGCAGGTACGTTTAGGCAAACCTTAACAGCGGCACGTTTACTGTATATTTTTAGTACCAGAGAAAGAACGTGCATGCACAACAGCGCCACAACAGGCTGCATGAAAACTCACAGGCAACACAGGGGCAAATACACCACCAAATACACCAGATTTTACGATTGTCCATTAGTGTGAATGTGAACATAAATGTCTCAGCCTGCACTACTGTCACTACTATTACAGCAATAAGTTATGCTTTCCTAAGAACACTGGTGTCACCGTACAAGTTTACACCAAAACACAATGAAAAAGAAAATAAAGAACAAAAAATCCAGTTGACCAAATAATGTTGTTTTGAATTAGTGTCACTGAGGTATTTGTCACTTTCTTTCTGGTGCTTACTTCTGTCCTGCCTTCATTTCACCTAATCCTAAAATTGTGACCACTATTCTGTGTTAAACGGGGAGCAGAGATGGCCCATTGGCTGACCAAAACTAGGTATTGGTGAAAGAAATATAACAGGGAGGATCATAAAAGAGGCTATTACATCCCTCAGTGCGATTTGAGAATGAAACACATTGGTGTGGACAAAGCCTACCAGACAGTGAGGGTGTGAGTGCAGTTTTGTTACCGTGTCTGGAGAAGGAGCCTGGGTTTTTAGTGAGGCGCTGAAGGACAGAGTCTGGTCTTTGGTGCAGAGTGGATTGCTGGAACTCCTGGAAGGTGCTGATGGACAGACTGGGCAAAGAAAAGGAAAATCATCGGTATGAGGAACAGGAACATCGATGAGAAGGGGATTCATGTTGTTTTAAAGCACAGAAAATTCAGTGGTGCTTTTCTTGGTTTTAACTTAGAGGCGAACTTTTATTTGAAATGTACAAATGGTGATATGCAAGATCGTGTGATTATGCAATTTAGTTTACTGGAGTTTTATAGGAAGTGGACACTGTAAATTAGTGATAGTTGCTGAATTTTCTCTTTCCTTCGATCAATACAATATAAGCTCAACTATAAACAAACATTGGAACAAACCAACCTGAATGGGGATCACTGTAGATATCTTAAATTGTCCAAAGATGTTCTATATAACTTTTTTGGTGGAGAGGTGAGCTTGCTCATAGTAAAAATTCAGGAATCTCAAGGTATTTTTACACCTGTACCTGATGCAAGATGTACGATTCTAATGCAATATTGTGGAATTTTCCAGATAAAGCAATAGCATTTCCATGGAGACAAGCAGGTGAAGTAGCATGGAGTTACAGAATTCACCTGTAAGATTTACATATTATTTTAAACCAGTGTTAAAGGGCCCATATTACACTACTTTCTGTCATGTACTAATACAAGAAGTGCTCCACTGTGTTTTTAAACTCCATACACCTGCACTAGAATCATTTGGATAATTTTGGCCCTAGAATTTCCAATCTCTCCTGAACTAATGTTAAAATTAGCTAACTTGAAAAATATCGCTTCATGACGTCACAGAGCATTTTGAGCTTTGGAAACGTAAACAGACTGAAAATACAGGGTTTACTCAAACATGTGTGAATGAAACAAAACACAACTCCAGATTTGTTTTTGTGTGGGTTACAACATTATAACATGGCTTAAAGCTCACAAGAGTCAATTTTGCGTAATATTGGACTTCTAAAGTAAAGGATAAAATCAAGTCCCATCATGAGACCAGTTACATAGATACAACATGTGTCTTATAATCCTGACAGGTTAAACTGACATTATACAGATATTACAGATATTCACCTCTTTCTGGACTGCAGAGCTGCCTTTTTGGCCAGAACAGACGGGGGGTGGTGGTCAAAGAGTTCTTGTGCCCGAGCAATGAGCAGCTCGTATGGGAGGTCCTGGGGGATACGGGACAGAAGGTGGTGGACCATGGCCATGTCACACTCGGTGGTCTTCACTTCCTTCTCTCTGTGCAAAACGATCTGAGCACAAAAGATGAAACGTGGAGAAATGTAACCCTGGAGTTCCACACATAAATTAGCATAATCTTAATGTTTAATCAACACTTGCTTCAGTTGCTTTTATACAGCGTACAATAAAGCTACTACTATTACTACTATTATTGTTAATACTACTGCTGCTGCTGCTGCTACTGCTACAACTACTACTACTACTACTACTACTACTACTACATCTACTGCATCTACTACTATTGCTTCTACTGCTACTACTATTACTGTTACTACTACTGCTACTGCTGCTGCTGCTGCTGCTACTACTACTATTGCTTCTACTAGTACTAGTGCTGCTGTTACTACTACTGCTACTACGATTACTGCTGCTAGTACTAATACTAGTACTAGACCAACTAGTTTTGATACTAGTTGTTTTTCTAGGTATTTTTGCGCTATAAAACCACCTGTAATTGAATTAATGTAAAGTAGAGCTGTGTACTGTCATACTGTGGAACATTCTAGGTAAAGCAATGACATCCATATAAACAAGCAGATGACCAAACACCTCAAAAAAAAGTTAAATAATGCACCTTTAAACAACATTAGTGCAAAATAGTGCAAAATAGTGCAAGATCTGAGTCTGGGCAGATCTTCTAATTTAGAGAAATCGTAATACTGTGCTTTTCTAACAAACCTATTCTTACTTTTACATGTATTAGGAAAGGCTATTAGGCTATTATACTCCAAGTCTGAACCACTATCTTACAGCTCACTAGCCTGCTGAGCCTGTTTTGAATCGGTGGGGGCAAAGACAGAGAGATAGAGAGAGAACATTCAAACTGCCCCGGGGGCGACTTCGCGAGGGGCCTCTTTACAACAGTGCAGCTCTGTCAAAAGTGTTTGTCTCCAACTTATGGTTTTGGAGAGGTTAGTAACAGACCAAAGAACATATTAAGTAAGTGTGAAAATGGATCAATGTCTGCCTGTGAAAAGATGAAACGCTGGATTTTTACACATAAATTAGATTCCTGGATACGGGTGCGTTTGTGGGTTTCCGCAGAGACACAAGTGGGGCTTAGCGGTGAATTAGGCAGATGAAGAGTTAACCCCCCATGCTGAGCGCTGTACTCTGTAGCCTGGGAGGAAACATGATCTACATTTGGCTTTGTTGTTTTTTCTCACACTTCAAACACAAGTCTCCCTCTGCCCAGCCCCTTCTCCGAGACGTACACATGCAAATAGACACTAAAGAGCTGACATACACAACACGGCAGCAATAGCAACAGCAACAGCCAGGCTCTACAAAGATCAGACAAAGCTCTCAGAAAAGAAACAAGATAGGAAAACAAAAAGATCCTGTGCATCTATTGTTGGGTTTCAGATGCCATTAGAACATTTTATAGGCCAATTATATTTAATACAGATGGGGGGGCAGCTAAAATGTATATTAAAATGAAGTATTTTGTTGTATTACAGTGAGTTTGTGGGTCTAGTCAGTAATAGAAATGATCAGGATCAACATTTGCAAATTTATCTTTTGTATATTTCATGGTAAAGTATAATGTGATCAATGTAACCAATAGAATATAATATAATATAATATATATATATATATATATATATATATATATATATATATATATATATATATATATATATATATATATATATATAATAAAACTGGCTCTTGCACTCATCTGAGACATCATCCCACTGTAGAGTTTGAAAACCACAGATATACACACAAAAAACATACAAGGAATAAGGCTGAACGTTATCAAATCAATTCGACATTGCAATTTGAATAGCAGCAATTACCAAATGGAAATTCTTAAAAATTCATTGTGAAACTTTTCTGGTAGGGGGTCTACCACAAGCTTGTTTCCATGGAGATATTGCTGCTTTACCTGAAGGGTTTAATACAGGCATGTTCAAACTATGACCTGTGGGCCAAATGCGGCCCTGAGACAAAGTTTTCTTGGCTCTCAGGCTTCCAGGTGAATTGGCCCAAATTACCTTGCATCAGTTAAAAAATAACTTTTTACTGCAAGTTTTTTTTTTTAACATCTACGTTGATAACACCAATATTTAATAGTTAGTATGTGGTTTTAAGGATCTTAGCATGAATAAAGACTGATGGCGCACTATAATGTGTTAAACATGCACATATTTTAATTATTCACTGTATTGAGCACCAGTCTACGGCCCTTGATCAGCCCTCTGCTTCGTCTGTGTTTAGATATGTGGCCCCTGATTAAACAGGGTTTGGACACTCCTGGTTTAATAGTATGGCCATAAACTCATCTACTAGTATGATGCATATATTCAATTTATACATGTGATTTACTCTATAAAATTACTACTAAAACATGCATTCCTACAGTGAATGAGCTCACTTCTCCACAGATCTAGCCAATAGCTTGGTCTGCAGGTTTGTCTCCATGGAAACAGATAAACTTCATGCCATATTGTGGGACATTCTAGGAAAAGCAATAACATTTTCATAAAGAGAAGTAGGTGGCAGACTCTCCACCAGAAAGTTACACAGTGCACCTTTAATTTCTTTGCAAACAACAAAATATCCTGTGTCTTATTGCTAAACTTGCAGTTTACGCCTTTACAAACATGTGATTCTTGTGTTAGGTAGGTGTTAATATTTTAGTTTTCTCTTGAATATGAATGCTTCTGTTGGACGTGTTTGAAATGTAGACTTTGAACAGAGCACTACAATTAAAACATAAATTGCAAATCTAATCTTATCAGAGTCCAGAATTGTTCAGGCCCAACAGGGAATGTACAGCGTGGATAAAGTGTAAGAAATACAAAAGCATCTTGATGTTAAATTGCATAGACATTAAATGAATTATAGATCTATATCAGTGTGCTCTTTCAAAAGTAACTGCCCTTAGCTCTTGCAAAAAAAAAAACTAAAAATATGAATATATGAATAGGTAAAACACTAATTTTGAGTAAGTTTAACTGGTGATATTCAGAACACAGTTTTCTGAAACACAAAGGAATACAGGGTGCTATTCGATCACACAATTTAAGCTTCAAACTGCACAAAATCTGTGAGAGAATCTCAATGAAAAATACTCTTCTGGTGAGTGCATGCATCTTTACTCTATCATTTCATTGCAACATGATGTAAAAATATTCAAAGTATTCAGAATACAGCACTCTGATTGGTCCATATGTCCCCAAATATGTTACAAAAAACATGCAGGTATTTGGTATTCTGTAACTACATCAATCCTATCTTGCAATTTATAATATGTATTTTTATTATTTTAGTCACTTAATGAAAACATATGAAGTTTCTGAAAATGTTATTGAAGTCCAACTGTTTGTTTGTGAGTTTTGTGACCAGACAACCCCTGTGCCAAAAACACAACCCCCACGGCGTTATGAAATAAATAAAATACATCATGTTTTTCCTCAGCTGCAAATCCCTTTTAACGCTCGGCTTGGTACTTTTCTCATACAGCAATGCCCTTTTTATCCTTTCCTCTTCCCAGCACCTTCTCCTTTCATTTTCTTCATTAGGACTGGCTAATTAACTGGTTCAGAGACTTCTTGGTGCTCAGCGTGAAGTGTCCTGGATTACTGACACAACAAGCTCCTCTCCTCTCTCTCTTTCCTCTCTCTCTTTCTCTCTCTTTCCTCTTTCTCAACTCCTTCTCTCTGTCACACCTGTTTCTCTCTTTCTCTGTCCCTCTCATCTGTCACTTGCTTTCTCTCCCATTTCTCTCTCTCCCAACACTCTCATCTGTCTGTGTCTCTCTCTCATCTGTCTCCTCTTTTCCTCCCCCTCTCTCATCTGTCACTCTCTCTCTCTGTGATTTTGTTTCCTGTGGCGTCCTCACCGCAGCAGCGAGGTAGATGGGCATCAGTGGGTGAGAGGCCAAGAAGAAGTCGTAGAGTCTCAAGGTGTGTTTGAACTCGGGCAGGACGTGGCCGTACCATGTGATCAGCCAGGACAGGGCGAATATGGTGCCCACCTCCGCTCTGTGTAGGGAAGAGTCATAAATCAAACAATGTAAGAGATTAATTGTCATCAGCTAGTGCAAAAACAGATATCCAGACGCATACTGTATTAGTATAGGAGTACCCACACAATACTAAATGTAATGCCACTAAACTGATCTCCCCATCTTAACTTTTACCACTATATAATTATATGTTATTGCATTGTATCTGGTACTGTAAACAAATGTCATCATTACATTAACAGAATATATATTATAGTATTACAATAAAATATAATCTTTTTTTTTTCTTTTTAAGTTTCTAATTAATAATCTTTCTAATTACTGTTATATATTAGAAAGAAACTTAAAAAGAAAAGAAGAACCAATAAGTTAAGTGCCAAAGGTCTTACATATCAATTTAAATTAAGGTTAACATAGGCTTCATTGTCATTAGTGCAATTGACTGTTAATGTCCTGGCTACAATCTCCACACTGATCCAAAATGGAACTGTAGATGTTTAAGTTAAAGCTATTTTCTTTAATATTGTCATATATTGTATAAAATTACAGCAAGATCTTAGTCTGATAGTACTGTGCTCTCTGGAGTCCTCACTCAGAACAGAGTCTTGTTTAAATTGTGACTTTCTGCAGTTGTTCATATAAATATTGGATAGCAAGAATCAGACAGGTAGAGAGAGCTCTAGCTGAAAGGAGTGACAAGTAAAAAGTTGTGGAGTAATAGTTTTTAATGCTGTAGTTTTACTCCAAGTGCAATATCTGATAATAGGGGCTTTTATCTAGTTGTATATAGACGTATTTTAGTTTCAGTAAATAATTTTTCAGAGGTGAAGTGCATAAAGCAATGAGGTGACAAAAGGGCAGGCATATCCTCCTTACATCCTGGTAGGGTAATTATACTGTTGCAGGAAAATTTAGAAATGAATTAATATATAATTAAGTAATTTAATAACATTACTATATACTGCCAACTAGGATGTGAATTAATAAATACTGCACAATCACATAACTCTTTACATAACTGTTTATGAAAACCTCAAATGTGCACAGCCATCTGTTGGTAAAAGAAAAAATAGAAAGTAGTCCAGTCTCAAGGCAGGTTATAATTTTTACACTGCAGCTCCTCCTAGTGGTCAATTACAAGCACTTGCACCTCCATAACTGAGGTGTACCATTGGTGTTTAAGTTGTGATTGTTGTGATTACCTTATCATAAAATCATGGAGCTCTGTGTCCACTTGCTCTAAAATAGGCATCAGATAGTTTAAAATATGCTTTGTACTGTCCATTGTGGGATCCATGAAGTCCCTAAAACAAATAACCAAATGTGAATAAACATAAAAAATGATAATGATGATGAAAATGCAATAACTAAATAATGTGAAAATGTTACCTCAGATGGAAATTGGAGAGCTTGTCGAGCAAAGCGAGGGCCATCCTCTCTCCGACCACAAGGAGCAGAGTGACAGCTACGTCATGGTAACCTTGGTAATAGTGAAGTTGAGGATGACGCTTCAAAACATCTAATATAATGTCAGTGAGCTGCTCTTGAAGAACTGCTCTCTCTGCAGCTGGCATTCCTTATTTAGACAGGAAAACAGGATTGTAATAACATCCAATTAACAGTCAATTAACAGTGAAAATTACATCTTTTATTTATAATGACCACAAACCTTTCGGAAACCGCTTCATAGACCGCCTGACGTCAAGTAGCACTTGGTTGCAGTCTTTGTGGTTCTCCCTCACATCTTTGCCTAAAAAATGAATTAGATTTTTTATATACTCTGTTTATTTATTTATAGGAGGAACTGAGAAGCTGGTCAGAATGTGGGTTTTGTTTACTCCAGTAATGCTTTTGGTACTGTTACTCTAGTTTCTCATTACAGAATTTATAAAAGGTTATATGTTATGGGGTTCTTTTTTCAGATCAAGAGTTTGTTTCATTACTGCTCACTAGTGGTCTTCCTCACAGTGGTCACGTGATGTTGCTGTGACGTGTCCGGTCAGCTGATTTGTACAGGTTTTGTACAGGTTTAGGCACTGTCTTCCTACCGGTGGAGGCAACCAGGACAAGGGGGCTTTTTTACTCTCACACACCTGGGACACCGTCCTGAGGAAGTGAGACTGCAGATGGTGCTGTCACCCTGCCTCCACCGGTAGGAAGACAGCGCTAAAACCTGTATAAATCAGTTGACCAGACATGTCACAGGAACATCACGTGACCACTCTGAGGAAGACCACAGGGAGCAGTCGAAACAGTCAGGTATGAAAACAAACTCTTGGTCTGAAAAAAGAACCCAATAACATATAATTATCGGAAGACCAAATCAACCTCACTGGACTTTTATAAAAGGTTGCTCATCTTATGTAAGCTATATTTATTTACTTGAGTGATATAAAACATGTATTGTCATAGTTGTTGGCCTTGTCGTGTCAATTTACTGACATAAAGCTACCAGTTACTCATTTTAGTCAACAATAAAGAGGAAGAAACTGCACTGTACTTACCAGGTTTAGGAGGTAAATCAAAAACGTTGATGTTCAGTAGTTTAGGCCAAACTTTTCTCCTCATTTCATCTGTGAGCAGACCTCCTTTACTGACTGCTGCTCTCCTCAGCGTCTCAATATCCACCGGGTCACTGTAGAATTAAAGGTGCATTGTGTAACTTTTCTGGTAGAGGGTCTGTCACCTGTTTGTTTCTACGGATACGAAATTTCTCTGCTTAGAATTTTCTACAGTATGACACTAAACACCTCTACTGTACATTTATTCAATTATAGGTGGTTTTATAGCTCAAAAATACATAGAAAAACTGGCATTTTGACTGTGAGTTGCCTCTCCACAGATCTGACCTGTACCTTGGTCTGGTTTGCTCTCCATGAAGATAGAAAGGTGTAATACCATACTATGAAATAATCCAGACAAAGCAATAAGAGTTCCAAGGAGAAAAGCATTTGACAGCCCTTTACACAAAGCACCTTAAAATCAACAGGCTGATAAGAGTAACACATTTGCTGTCACAAGGCAAGGCTTGTGACATTAAAATAACCGTCACAATGTGACTTAGACTAATGTTTCTCTGAATTCCTCCCCATTTAGTCTCAGATGCCTCCAGTGTCTTGATGCTCTTAATATTATTCCACTGGGCCCATGTGACTAATCTTCATGTGTGAAATTAGCTTAGCACCGTGTGGTGAGGGGGCGACTCTCTGTGGACTGCCCATAATTGTGGAAAGGCACACTGGATTAACCAAGTGAGGGACCGTCCCAGTTGGGTAAAGATGTACTCATAGGCCCATAGCTCGAGAGTTAAGTGGGGCATTTGTGGATACTGAAATATCTGACAGGAAAATTACATTCGAATTGTGGGCTGTTCAAGGATTGTCTATTAGAGATCTTGTATAATTACTGTATATATGTATTACTTTGAGTATTATTACTGTTGTTTGAATACTCACCAATTTAAGGCTTGATGAATTTCTGCTAACTTCTGTTTTTTTCCCATGTCTGCTTCTACAATGACAGAAAAAGCAAACCCTTAAATAGCTATAGAA